AGGGGAGGGGAGGGGAGGGGAGGGGAGGGGAGGGGAGGGGAGGAGAGGAGAGGAGAGGAGAGGAGAGGAGAGGAGAGGAGAGGAGAGGAGAGGAGAGGAGAGGAGAGGAGAGGAGAGGAGAGGAGAGGAAAGGAAAGGAAAGGAAAGGAAAGGAAAGGAAAGGAAAGGAAAGGAAAGGAAAGGAATCCATCTGGGATCATATGTTAGCAGTATGTTAGCAGGTTGTTACTTAACACATACTTCACATAAGTTCAAGTTCCCACAATATTCCTCTTATCTGTCTACACAGTCTGTGTCCAACTTCCTACTTGATTACAGGACTACAGTAAATTAGCAATCAAAACAAGTCTCCTTCAACAATAATTGTTCTCTTAAGTTCCCTTGGCTATTTTTAGACATTTACTTTACTAAGAGCAACTTTGAAAACATCAGTTGGCCTCACTCCCTTGGTTCTGATGAGAATTAGAAGAACAAATGAGAAGCAATGGAAACTGTTCTGCTATCACCAGGCACAAGATATCCCATGCCTTTCCACAGACTCCATTTCATGTCTTTCAGTCAAATCACAAAGCTCACCACAGCCTCATAATACCTCTTGCTAAGTTCATTTAGCAGATTATTTTCAGTAGGATTTCCTGCCACACACCTCCCAATTTCCTTTCAGTGTTTTGCATTCAGCAGAAAGAAAAAAATTAAGCCTTCCTAAATCACTTAAATCTTTATAATCACTGAACCAATTTCTCAGAAGCCCAAGTAATTATCAAGGTAAATTTCTTGGATTTTTCTAATCATTTTTATTCCATAATTATTTGATTTTATTATTTTATGACTTCCACCTTACTTATTAGTGGCTTCAAAAATAAGCATAAACTCAGATACGCAGCATCCATAATTTGGTTCCTATTTCCAATTAAAATGACTTTTTGACACTTACTATAATTTTTACGTTATCATTTACTTATTAAAATTAAATCTCTGATATTTTCTATTATGTTTTGGTGGAATCCCTCTAATGCAATATCTTTATGTGCGTGCATGAGTGCATGTGTGTGTGTGTGTGTGTGTATCTGTATGTGTGTAAACAAAGAAGACACCTTGTCCGAGTAGGTTCTCCCCTCCACTATGAGTCCTAGGGATTAAATTGAGGTTGTCAGGTTTGGAGACAAGTGCCTTTACCCACTAAGCCATTTCAAACAGTCTAATAACAAATTTCTGAAAATTCTCATTTTTAAATTTTTAAAACTAAATTCTATTTGAGTATAACACAGAACTTTTTTAAAAGTCACTAAATTGAACTTTATTTTACTTGATAATTTTGTATGTGTACATAAACAGAATGTATACATACACATAAGTAATCCATCCTTAGTTTTCTAGGCATAGTACCTTTAGTTTAGTCAGTATTAAGATTACTGTCATTATAAAAGAAGTATTTTTTGTTCCTGAAACAAATGTAAACCAGAGTAGTTGTTTAAACATATGTAAAAATCTCTGCCTTTCTGAAAACAGCATTTTAATGGATTGTTGCCTTTGGTAGTGTTCAGGTGGGTCTGTCTTTTCCCAGATAAGGCTCCCACCCTGCTTGAGAGCTTCAGAACCCTTTGCACCAAAAGTCCAGACTCCCCCTAGTGTTCCTTCGGAGACACTGACTACTGCTACCCTAAAGAGCCATTGAATAGAAACAAGATGTGATAAGTGATTTATTAAGTTCCTATACCAGGTGGCTTTAACATTCTTTTGTCAACAGTCTTTCGATATGTACCAACTAAACACAAAATAAAGAAATCCCACAAAGAACAGTCTTTTACCTTTGCTGCACATATCTGACCATCTGGCTCACCATCTGTGCCCCGAGGGTCAGATATCCCATTTCAGGGGAATATTGGTTAGTTTCCCATTTTCACCATACCACTACTAGATTGTGTTGTTGCTCTGTTTGTGCTTCTGTCTTTCCTTAATTTTTACATACAATTCATACAACCAAAAGCAGGGTGACAGGATCCTGCACTCCCTGTACTCTGCACTGATCTAAAGTGACCTCCACAACCTTGAATAAATCCCTTTAAACTTTCTAAGGTTCAGCTCTTCCCAATATAATAGAACAACATCTACAAGTTATGGTGTAGGGATTAAATCCAGCAGGAAGGGGTCTGGTCCATTATTTATCAGACAAGGGTAACTTTGAATTCAGTGTGAAGCAGTTCAATGCTACGCAGAGCTGAGTTCTACCATCCCTTTTGAATCTATCCAGCAGAATAAGCTAACTGTACTATTTCTTGCCCTGCCCTTTGACCCACAAAACAATCAGAACTGTGCTGGGCAGTGGTGATGCACGCCTTTAATCCCAGCACTCAGGAGGCAGAGGCAAGCAGATCTCTGTGTGTTTGAGGCCAGCCTGGTCTACAAGAGCTAGTTCCAGGACAGGATCCAAAGCTACAGAGAAACCCTGTCTCAAAAAAAAAAAATCATAACTGCATTTTAAGGTAGAATTCCTGCCTCAAATCAGCATGCATGTAGTACAAATTCAAATTTAAATGTGCATACATTAGGAAAGGAAGAAGTGCTAGATAATTGACACCTGAAAGTACAGCACTCATCCAAATTGCTTACCAATCTGGAGGTGCACATTTCAGATGCTATTCAATTAAGTATTTGCTTGGGCATCTTGCTCTAACAAGCCCTCAGGTCTGTGAGAATGAAATATATGCATCCCCACATATCAGAGTGGCTGCTCAACTTTCAAGCACAGTACAAGTTAAGACAGAAACTAATTGCTTATTTGCAACATGCTAATCAACCACACACCTACCAATTAAAAATCTGAATTCCTTCTGAAACACCAAGACTTCAAAGTATTATTCAGAGTAGCGACAGAAGGTGGTAGATTTTAAAAGTACATGACATCTATGCCAGGATTAATGTGAGCTGGAGACATCTCTCAGTGGTAGTAGGGACCTAGCATACTGAAGGGCCAAGTTTAATCTCCAATAACATAAAGAAAAGTAACCTGATAGAGTCCACACTGCAGGCTTCTTTCAGTAACTGTACACTGTCTACTCTCTAAGTATCAATAGATAATATATTCACACAAAGAAAGAAACTATCTTCTTAACCAATTATAATAAAAGGTGCAGGTCCAATTGATCTCTCATGTATTTTTAATTTTAACTTAAAAGTACCTTACCAAGGAAGCATAATTACCTGATAGCAGTCTCCTTTAAGATTGTCTAAGACATCTCCACATGTTCTTCGCATGAATTTCTTACATCCGTCAATTACCATTTGGTCAATGTCCGAAACAGGTTAAGGAGAATTCGAATATATCAAAGAATTCTGAAATAGTAAATCTTCTCTAAAACATAAAGGTTCAGACATCTGAGGATCACACGTTAAAAAGTAGGTATTGTGGTGACTTTATTTTCACACTAAGGAATTCAAGTCCAAAGATGCCATAGAAAGGAGAACCAAAATCATTTACCTTGTTCTGTTTCTGTCTCATTCTCTCCCCCCTCACTAACTTTTTTATCTTTTAAAAAATACGTATGAGTGTGCACAGCTGTTATAAACATGCACCACATACATGCCTGCTACCCGGAGGCCAAAAAAAGGCATCAAATATACTGGAACTGGAGTTACAGATAGCTGTTAGTCAGCAAATGGGTTCTTGGAACTGAACCCAGGTCCTCTGTAAGAGTGAGTCCTCTCTCTCCAGGCCCTGAAGTTGTTCTCTTATACAGTAAAGGATATCTCTACCATAGTGACCATCTTTGGTTTCAGTTTCACAATTTCACATAATATGCCCCCATCTCCACCTCCCAGGATCAGCACATCTTTGCCAGTGTAATCTTCTTTACCACTGCCCATGATGGCTCGAGTATATGCCACGTCACTCTCTGCCAAATCTAGGGAGGAGAAGAGACCCAAATGATCATTCTACCCAAATACACAAACCACCTGACCTGCTGAAATCTAGCTTGCAATGGAAATTTCCCAACTTTCAAAAACTGTCCATAATGTGCAAGTTTGATTTTTTTTGATTGAGTAGTTTTCACAAGTGTAATGCATCTGACACATAGGATAAAAAGAACTAAGTTACTTAGACAGAAATACAATATTGAGAGTGAGCTGATATTCTGAGTAATTAAAAGAAATGATACCTTTAAAGATGATAAGATATGCCATCTGGGAGCTACTTTCAAGATAATATTGTAATACAAAATGCAGCGGGGTTAGATGAAACAACACTGGCTAACTCATTGGTATTCTCAAAGTTCCATGGAGAGTACCTGTAGGCTCAATGCATGAGTTTGTCTACTTAGATTGTGATGGAGGAAAGACATTGGTTAATTATAATAAAGAAACTGCCTCGGCCCTCATAGGACAGAAAATTAGGTAGGCGGAGTAGACAGAAGAGAATTCTGGGAGAAAGAAGCTGATTCATTGAGTCGCCTTGATTCTCCTGCTCCAGACAGATGCAGGTTAAGATCCTCCCTGGTAAGCCAGCTCGTGTGCTACACAGAATATTAGAAATGGGTTAGATTAATATGTAAGAGCTAGCCAATAAGAAACTGGAACTAGCCGGGCCAGGCAGTGTTTGAAAGAATACAGTTTCCGTGTAATTATTTCGGGCATAAGCTAGCCATGTGGGCGGCTGGGTGCCAGGGACGCAGCCCCGCCGCTCTTATTTCAACAAGATTGGAATTTTTTCATAATAAAATGCTATTTTTACTCCAGCAACTTGTACTTTCTAACTACTCATCAAAGGAAAATCTATTTCAAGACAAAGTTTACACAAACATCCAGTCAACCCATAGGTTCATACAATGTAAGTGAATCCTAAAAGATAGCAGTGTCAGAATTAAGTTCAGACAAATCCAAGACAATGGCATTTTTTCAGGAAAGCAGTGGCTGCCCACATACATCAGAACTTTTTTATGCAACGAGGGTGGGAATGGGATACTTACTAACATCACCACTGAGGATGAGAATATTTCCAAACTGCTTTGAGTGTAGGATTTTAATGTTCTGATAAGGTGAATCTTCATCATATACCACTTCATCTATGTCGTACTCAACCAGGCGCCCATCAGCAGTAGGCCAGTATCTGTCGATGGCCCCTCCTCGAACTATGGGTGGTAAACTACAGAGGGAGAGACAGGAATGAGTCTTTGTAGAACACTGCCTTACAAAAGGACTTGGGATGGAGAATATACAAAAGACCATGAGAGACAAGAGAGATGACTTAGTGGTTAAGAGAAGGTACAGCTCCTAAAAAGACGACCCAAGTTTAGTTTCCAGCTAGTGGCTCCTCACAATTGCTTGGAACTCCAACTCCAGGGGCACCTCTGACCGCTACCAGTACCTATACTCACATGTACATCCCCATAATTAAAAATAAAATAAAAAGCAGCCTTGTGTTTGTGGCAGACAGTCTCTTTAAAAGTGTAAAACAAATCCAAAGCTTGGACACTTACCTATTCACAATCACAAACTGTACCAAGTTGCAACAATTGCACAAAACTATTTCTTAAAAGAAAAAGAAAAGAAAACCTTTCTGGCAGGTTTTAAATTTATTTTTCCTAATGAAAAATTGAAGCAGAAAGTGAGCATGGTAGATATTACACTTTTCAGTACATAACACCAAAGGTCTGCAAAACCACATGGCCATTACTGTAGTTACAAGTTCCATTATCTAGTACAGAATCCACCTTCAAGTATTCTGAGTTATCCCAATTATGTCCATCATAGTTGTTATGCTTTTGAATAAATTTCAAACACTGCGTTTTCTTTTCTTTGTCCTTATTTGTCTAACCCTCATTTCACTTAGGATATCCTTTCTTATTCTTCTTCTCTGTTCCATTTGTCTCCAAAAAGTCCAGATCAAGTATCTGGAAGTCATCCTTCCTGTGGATTTAGCCTGAGATTCTCTTAAATGGAGTCAGGTTGGCAAAGAGCACCCAGGTTTCCAAGCAGGAAACCTGAGTTATAGTGATATCTGCTAAACCTCTCTCTATCTGCAAATGTACCTTTGACATGAGGCAGGTTACTCTGTGGTCTTCAGAAACTGAGTACTACACAATTATTTACCAGTGGCAATGGGATTAAGAAGTTTAAGATAAAATGAAAAGCTTCTCATTCTATGCTTTTGTAAATAATCAAGTGCTTCTGATACGGTGAATATACCAGAAACCACCAGCAGAGGACACTAAATGACAGGAGAAAACACCAAAAGGGGGATTAGTAAATGTAAGCCAAACACAAAATAAGAATATACTGGAGACCCAAAAATGAAGTAGTACTCGGTACAGCTATGCAGGTCTGCAATGCTGGAACACACTACCTCTGCCTCACTTCCCAGTCTCCTTTCACCTGCTTCAAACAGTCCAGGCACAACCTGATAACAAGTTAACAAGACTATCTTAGACAGACAGACAGACAGACAGACAGACAGACAGACACACACACACACACACACCCCTGTAATCTGCTCCAAAGATAACAAAGTAATTTCTCACAACTCCTGCCTTAGCCATTTCATCTTTCCAGGGAATGAATTTATCTTTCCAAATATTAGGCAGACCTGAGGTATTTCTTTTGTTAGGTAATGGCCTAGCTAAGACAGCCCCCAGACAGGTAGTGAACAGGATTGGAAGAAGCCCCTTCCTGAGATGAGTAAAGCAAGAGAGGGAACCTGTGGCAATAGGTGACTTTGATCAATCTCAATTACAAAACTATTTCTGCTGTGGGACAATGGTCTGTACCCTGTCAATTATATTTTAAATAAATGCTGATTGGCCAGTAGCCAGGCAGGAAGTATAGGCGCAGTGACCAGGCAGGAAGCAGAGGTGGGGCAACGATAATTCTGAGAAGAGGAAAGCTTGGTCTGCAGTCGTGACCCAGTCACAGAAGTAAGATGTGACTGCCTCGCTGAATAAGGTACCAAGCCTTGTGGCTAGTATAGACAAGAGTAACAGGCTAATATAAGTTATAAGAGTTAATAATAAGCCTGAGCTCATGGGCCAATCAGTTTATAACTAATGTAGATCCCTGTGTGATTTCTTTGGAACTTAAACAACTGAGGGAATGGGGCAGGAAAACATATTTCACATTAATAATAATAAAGATTGCTCAGTGAATAAAGGTGCTTTCAGCCATGTCTGACAAATTGAAATTGATCCATGAAAGTCATATAAAAGTGGCAGGATGGGGCTGGAGAGATGGTGCAGCGGTTAAGAACACTGGCTGCTCTTCCAGAGGACCTGGGTTCAATTCCTAGCACACACATGGCAGCTCACACCTGTCCATGACTCTAGTTCCAGGGCTTCTGACATACAGAAACACATACAATACAGACACACACATGAAAGTAAAACACCAATGAACATAAAATAAAAATAAAAATTTAAAAAAAAAGTGGAAAGACTAACTCTGCCAAGTTGTTCCTCTGACCTTAGTTACCCATACAGGCCAGGCTATGGGTACATAATCCCAGCACTCAGGAGACAGATGGACCTGTGAGTTCAAGGCTACCCTGGGCTACACAAGATTGATTCCATCTAAAAGAGAAACAGAGCTAGATGGTGATGGCACACACCTTTAATCCCAGTACTTGAGGGTCACACTCCTTTAATCCCAGCACTAGGGAGGTGGAGACAGGAAGGGATATGGCTAGGTAAAGAGAGAAATATAAGGTGGAAAGAGACAGGAGCACATTGCATTCAGTCTGAAGGATTCTGAGTCAGGACCTTGCCCCCTAGTATCTGACTCTGAATTTCTATCATTAAGACCGATTAGAATTTGAACTACACATATACATGCATAAAAACACTAAATAAATAAACGGCTTTTTAAAAACTGTTCCCATATATGCTTAACACAAAGGAGAGGATTTCACGGTAGAAAATCCACCCTAGTTGACAGCCTGCCAGTTCTAACCGGTTATGTATGTCTGCTCTCAACTGGTTTAACATTGCTTTGGTTAACTTGAAAGTATCTCTTCTCTAGATTTCTAAAGCCTGGCAAGGAAACAAAGATCTCTATCAGGATGTGGCAGCCATTAGCTTAATATGAGTTCAAAGCAGCATAAAGTGTGATGCCCTGCAGTGGGCTACCAGGAGATCCCCAACAGCCCCACAAAAATCAACCTTTACAATCCCATGTCTTCCTGGCCTCAAGTACACTATACACATTACAGGAATTTTCCTCAAACTGAAACTTCTCGTTCCTTTTCACTTCAAAACACAAGACAAACTGAACAGACCAAGAGGTGAATGATCACCCAACTAGCGGGGCACCCCACTTTCTAGGCCTTCCATAACCTGGCAAAATCCTGGGGCCCCTCCCCCACCTGCAACAGCTTCTGTAGTCAGCCAACAGGCAACTTTCCTCTAGGTAGGCTGCTCCAACACACCCAATCCCATTGATTGGACCCTGTAAGCTACAAGTCCCACTTTGCCCCCAAACCCTCCTGTCCCATAACCCCCACTCCACCACAACCTCAGAGGAACTCTGAAAAACAAGATGCAAATACACAGAGAGGACCAAGAGTTAGGCTGCTCCAACATCCTCAAACATCCTCACCCTATCCATCTGCCCCTATAAGCTACAGGTCTCACTCCGCCTCAAAGGAACTCTAAAGCACAGGCTGCAACTGATGGAAGAATCAAGAGAGCAGACCAAGAGTGGGCCAAGAGAGACCTCAGTGGCTCCATGAGACACCAACAGCGACAATACAGAGCAGACCAAGAACAGCTCCCAAAGATCCAGACAGCAACTGTAAAGACTAGACCAAGAGGCAAAGACACTGTGGGCACCAAATCGAGGAAGAGATGGGTAGGCACCAATGCAAGGCACTAATGCAAGAATTCATTCAACAAACTAAAAAGCAACATGGTAACACCAGAGCCCAGTGATCATACAACAGGAAGACTTGGTCATCCTAACACAGAAGAAGCTACATTTACACAATGGAGTACTTACAATTCAGTGGTTAAAAAAACAATGACATCTTGAAATTTGCATGCAAATGGATGGAACTAGAAGAAACTATCCTGAGTGAGGTAACCCAGACCCAGAATGATGAGCATGGTATGTACCCACTCATAAGTGGATAGTAGCTGTAAAGCAAAGGATTGGGAGCCTATAGTTCACGACCCCAGAGAATCTGAGTAACAAGGAGAACACAAAGAGAAGCATATATAGATCAACCTGGAAAGGGGAAATAGACAAGATCTCCTGACAAAACTGGGAACATGGGGGTGGGGGAGAAGGGAGGGCAGAGGGGGAGGAAGAGGAGAACTTGAGGGAATGGGATAGTTGAGATGGGGGAAGGACAGAGATAGAGAGCAAGGAAAGAGATATCTTGATTGATGGAGCCATTATAGGCTAGCAAGAAACCTGGCTCTAGAGAAATTCCCAGGAATCCACAAGGATGACCCCAGCTAAGACCCTAAGCAATAGTGGAGAGGCTGCCGAAACTGGCTTTGCCCTGTATTCAGATTGATGACTATCTTAAATCTCACCATAGAACCTTCATCCAGCAACTGATAGAAGCAGATGCAGAGAGCCACAGAGGAGCGCACTGGGCTGAGTTCCCAAAGTTCAGTCGAAGAGTGGGAGGAGTGAGAATATGTGCAAGAAGGTCAAGACCATGATGGGTCTTACCTAAGCTAACAGGAACCCACCAACTCTGGCCAGACAAGGAAGGAAGCAGCATAGGACCAAACTAGGCCCTCTGAATGTGGGTGACAGTTGCATGGCTGGGGCAGACTGCAGGGCCACTGGCAGTGGCACCAGGATTTATCCCTACTGCTTGTACTGGCTTTTTGGAACCCATTCTCTCTGGATGTATACCTTGCTCAGCCTAGATACAGAAGGGAGGGTCTTGGACCTTCCCCAAAGCAATGTGCCTCACCCTATCTGAGGAGTGGATGGAGGGTGGTATGGGAGGATGGGAGGAGGGAGAAGTGGGAATTTGGATTGGTATGTAAAATGAAAAGATAGTTTTTTAAAAATAAAATAAAATAGATAAAAAAGGAAAACACAAGACAAGTCTTTGTAGAAATCCCAAGGCTTCTCAGTTAAAACTTCTTATTCAATAACCACTACTGAAAAGGGAATAAGAATTTTAGATAACATTATCAAATTATCTGTTCTTAATTTTCTCTATCAGTGTCAGTTCCCACACAGAAAAGTGTAACTATCCTCTTCGTGTAATGGGGAGCGGGATAATGACAAAGTGTTTACAACAAGGTAATCCCAACTTCACATTCTTTCCATCCTTATTTTATAAAAAAGATGTTAAAAACAATGACAAACAAAAACAAGGTTTATGTTTTGATATAAAAATCTAAAACTTATGACCAGTCTCACTTAGAAAACTTCACCAACCAGAGTTTTCATAAATACTGAAGGTCAGAAATACATTCTTTTGCTTAACATTTGTGTGTTTGAGTCTGTACACACAAAAAGTACATTTTTTTCTAAACATTTGTATCTGTACACATGATTGGGAAGGTCAGGAGAAAACTGTGGACAAGTCAGGTTTCTCCTTCTACCCAATGTTCTGAGGATTGAATTCAAACTTGGCAGCAAGTGCTTTTACGCACTTAGCCAGTTCCGCAGCCCCAGAAGTATACTCTATATACCGAGAAGCAGCAGTGGTAAAATTCAGAGTGCATTTTGGTGTGGGCCAATACATTTTCCTGGAGTCGGGCATGTTAAATTCATATGGATGGAAAGGAAACTTGCAAGCAAGACAAAGATGAAGTCCGGAAAGTACTGTGGGTGTGGACAGAGTCAAGGATTACTCAACTGAACTTGGGTGGAATTTAAAAAAATCTGTATCCTCAGATCTTAAATATGCACAAATTTTACATGGGGATTGGTTCTTTCAGTACTCTCACGCATCCCATTGCTCTTCCCCACCTAACCACAGGAGGCTAAATAATTACCTAGTTATCCTACATCTGCCCTGGAGCTTTCCTATGGGCTGATCAAACTCCACAGATTGAGTCATTAGGAGCTTAAATATCCTACCTTTGCCAACAAGATTTTCCTACTCTGAATCTGCTGTGAGATAAAGAAAACAGTATTCTATATTCTGATCATCAGTGGTCTGGGTAAATTCCCTCCATGGCTGTCTGTACCTGGCTTTCTGCTTTCTTATTGCAATTACTCAGTATCATCTTTCTGCCTCATTATTGGCACCACCACCACTACCACCACCACCACCAACGCTACCGCCCCCCCATCCTGTTTGTTTTTACATATTTTGTCCTGTTTGCGATGGGATGAGTGGATGGTTCAGTTCACGGTGTAAGACAGTAGCAGACATTTGACTTTGATCTTCTCAGCATCTTCTGCAGACACTAAGATCAACACTGCCATTCTGATTATTTTGCCAATTAAACAAATATTAAAAGGACATGGATGAGCAGGTGGACTTACCGCTTCACCCGCCCAGTACTGTCCTGACTCAGTTCTTTCATTTTTTCTTCTATTTTGTTCAAAAGCTACAATTAAAAGAAATCAGTGAGCTGAGACTATAAAGTGCACAACAACTAAATTACAGAGCACAGGCATAAGCTTATGCTGAGCACAATGTGATACTGGCCCATACACAAGCTCCCATATGCCTACCGGGACTTCCTGGCCCAATTCCACACTCCCACAGTAACTCTCCCTCATGATGCTGCCCTAACCACATTCTGAATATTCCCAAGAGAATAATGGGGCAGAATGCTAAAGAACACTGCAGGTGCAAAACTGTACGGGAAGGTTCTATATTCCCTCCAGCAGGAAGTGAAACCCATTCTTTGCATTCAGGAAGTTAAAAGGAAGGCTAAAAGCTAGGTTTCCAAATCATCTGAAGATTAATTCTTCTGTCAAACTACTTACACGGAGGCAAGTTTAAATTTCAGCTAACCTGAAAGTCAACATTCATGAAGCTAAGCAGACGCTAAGAATCTTAAATCTGGGGAAATAAAGTGCATCACATTTTGAAATGGGTAAGAAAAGTGAAAACCAACCCTGTCCGTTTCTTGTTTGCCTTGTGTGTCAGTGTCGTAACTCTGAAGATCCAGCAGCACCAATCCATGGGGATAAATCCTCAAATTGGCAAAGCTACAAAAGAAAGTGTAGTTTTACTGTTAGAAACTGTTATCAGGGCACTTCAAAGAGAAAAGATGCAGTCCCAATCAAGACTAAAAGGCAGTTCTTTTTTCCTTCAATGTCAAAGTTAATTCTCTAGCCTTCTTTTCAATTCCAATTCAGAGGTGAAAAGTGGGACATGGTCACCTGTAGAAGATTTAGAGAACAGGGCCAAATACTAAGCTTTTAATTTTACTTCTTGGGCCTGAAATTGATCTAAGTCTATGACTGATTCATATTACCTAACTCTATAAATTGATTCAGTCTATGAATCTGACTTTGTGCTTGTGTATGTGGGGGGTGGCCAGGAGTCCTAGGTCACCTCCCAAACACTGAAATTACAAGCACATGCCACCCTGCCTTTGTACATGGGCTCTCAGGGGGAAACAGATCCTCACAAGGCAAACACTTAACCATCTGGGCTATCTCATCCCCTGTAAGCATGTGATTTTTAGTTCTGTTTTTTGTTTTCCTGAGCATGAGGCCTGTCCTGGAGTATAGATAATATACCCAGTGTGATCCCATTGAAAGAAACCCTGTTTCCTTCTACCAGCAGGTATTAATTAAAATGAGCTTCTTGGCTAGCTAGGGTTTGTGCCCACTTACCCTTCTCCAGTGCTGGAATTTTGTCTGGCTTGAACTGCCTCTGGTACTTGATTTTTACAAAGGGTCCCCAGGAGATTCTGTCAGATTTAATTAACCAGGAGAAAGGGAAGGTTGGGAAGGGCAAACTAGGTGGGCTCTCCTAACTAATCTACAAAGTTCAGTGCTAGCTGGAAGGCTAAGAATGGTGTAACTTTTGAAAGAATTGTTTACATACAAAAGGGAAGAACGTGTGATGCAAGCATTATGAGTATTTTAATCTAAACACTTACTTTCTACCTGGTAATGCAGGCGCAAGCCTTTAATTCCAGCATTTGGGAGGCAGGGATGGGTGGAGCTCTGTGAGTTGGAGGCCACCCTGGACAGCCAGGGCTGTTACACAGAGAAAACCGTCTCGGGGAAAAAAAAAAAAAAAAAACAAAATAGTAACAACAACAACAACTTACTTTCTACATTGATCTCCTTTTTTAGAATTGGCCTCAGGGACTCACCTGAAGGTATTATTTAGTCCTGAAATATATTTCCCCCATCCTCCCACACATTCTTTCATTTTGCTTTCAGAAGCAATTTCTGAATGATTCTTGACACTCAAAAGATCCCTTCTGAAGAAAGAATAATTCTAAGGGCTTTGTATACAAATGGAATTGTGACTGGAAAGATATAAAGAACACTGTTTGCTCTTCCAAAGGACCTGGATTCAATTCTCAGCACCCACAAGGCAACTCAAAACCATATGGCCTCAGGCATTACATGCAAATGGTAGAAAGACGTACATGTATGCAAAATATCCAAACGCAGAAAATAATTTTATTTATTTATTTATTTGTTTATTTAGGAGACAGGGTTTCCCTGTGTAACAGTTCTAGCTGTCCTGAAACTAGCTCTTATAAAATTTTTTTTTTTTTTGGTTTTTCGAGAGGGTTTCCATGTGTAACAGTTCTAGCTGTCCTGCAACTAGCTCTTGTAGACCAGGCTGGTCTCGAACTCACAGGGATTCACCTGCCTCTGCCTCCCGAGTGCTGGGATTAAAGGCATGCGCCACCACAGCCCAGCTCTTAACTTTTTAAATAAAAAACAGATAGGTAAAACTTTGTTACAGAGGCTTGGGAGATGGCTAAGACTGGAAAATTTTCACCTTTGTGTGAAGGAACCCATCAGGCAGCAGTGTTCAACATGCTCTAATCCACACACACACACAAAAAAATGAACCACAGCAAAAATAGAGTGAGGGTACATAACAAAGAGAGACTGAGTATGGGCCTACATGAGACACTGGGTTAGAGGAGAGCTGAAGACCCTCTGTTTTTGGAAGCCTCTTAGGTAACTGAAGCAGAGCACAAGAGAGAACTGAGGAAGGCTAGTGGTTCTACTGAATATAGAAGTTATCACTTTATCACTAAAAGAAGAAGTTATCACTTTAAATATACCTGAGGCAACTGCTAAACACATACATGAAGACTGGCCACATAGGCAAAATATGAGTCTGCGCTTGGCTTACCTTTGAGAAGCATCCCCCACCCCCTTACCCTCTACCCCGTCAGTCCTCTCTTAGGGTTTCTTGTAACCTTCCATTTCCAACCGCTAGGATCTCTTCCTCCTTTTTCATGATACCCTTTCTAGTTTCATGACTGACAAACATAAACACACATACATGTAATTTTAAATGTAGTTTCCATGAGATAAAACACAGGATATTCACCTTCCTGAGCCAGACTTGTTTCCATCCTGTGTTTTACTATGGTCTTTAGTTAAAAATAGTCTCTTTTAACAATGCTCTAGCCAGCAGCTGTAGCAACAATGCAACCAGGGCCTTGCTGGAAATGCAACAGGGGAGGAGGGGACTCTGACCCAGAACTCCAGAACCACTGGAGCAGAAAGTCTGAGGAGTGTGTGTGGCGGGGGTTGTCCAGAAATCGGTTTTAACCAACTCCACATCATTGCCAGCCAAATATCACACTGTTTCTGTTGCCAGGTGTCTTGTTTTGGTCCTAGTCACATAGAAGAATCACTAGGGCTTTAAAGAAATACAGAGGTCCAGGTCCAATGGCCTTCTGCTCTGGGGGAAATGCCTGGGCAGGAAAAGGTTGTAAAAGCACCAAATTTTAGCCCCCTCTAAAATTGTCAAATGATAAAAAAAAAAATTGGATATCATCCCCTAGCCCCAACTTTGTTTCCATCTGAAGCCCATGAAATCACCTTACCTGCCGTTTTTGTTCGTGTAGGTTGCTAAATAGCCATGGTCCTGCCAGGTGTGCACTGACTCTGTCATCCCCTGCTCCTGAAAAATGGACTGAAGGCCTTTCAGAATGGCCTCACCGTCAGCTGGAAGACAGGAAACAAGGGGCGGTGATTAGGAAAAAGGTATCCAGAAGAAAAGCTAAAGGCTGAAATGTGAGTTCAGTAGTAGAGTACTAGCCAGTATGGCTGGGGCCCTAGGCTCCATCCCCAGCATCACAAACATTCAAATGAAATAAACTAAATACATTAATTAAATAAGTAAAAATCAAATTTAAATAATTAAATTAATTAAATAAAAAGTAAGAAAAGCTAAAGTGAGTGACATGATCTGATGACTTACAAGAAAATCTAAACATTCTCCACCCTGTATGGAAAGGCTACAAAGAACACCCGGCTACCCAATAAGAACACAAGGAATGACCACAAATACCAAAAACACAGGGAAATAACCATTCAATGAAACTAAAGATTTCAAAAGGATGAGGTTCCATTTTCAGCTAAATATATTAGTGGGAACACATAGTCCTAGCAAGGGGATGCATACCAATTATTGATGCGCTTCATTACCAATAGGAATTTTTGTCTTATTTTCTGGATGTTTACAAAAGGAAACTGTTGCTAATATAAACAAAAAAATAGAAATTAAAAAATGACATCCAGTAAAAAACTCGTAACCAGCAAAAACTGAACAATCCCAACAGAAGAAACTACTGGGTTGTATTTCCTCTCTCCATCCTGCCCCACCTCACAACTCGCCCCTCAAAGTAGAGCTTGGCACCATGAACTAACTGGCTGGACATGCATGGTGGCTCTGGAGGCTAAGACAGAAGAATTTGCCAGGAGTTCAATACCGGCCTGGCTACAGTGTGAGTTCCAGGTCAGTCTTGGCTACAGAGTGAAGCCCTGTCTCAACAAAACAAAAGAAAACAAATCAGCATTCATTAACCTCCAACAGGCTCATTTGGCAAAGTCAGAATCTCCAACAACATGGCAATACTTGAAAGAGCAAAATTCAGTTTATCCTGCAATTATAGCTGCAAAGCAGCCATTCCCTGAAAAAGGTAAATGAAGAACCAATGTAGACTGGCTCCTCATGGGGGGAAAAAAGAAGAAACAAGCCTTTACTAGGGAAAGTCTTTTGCAGATGTAATTGAATTACATATCACCAGATAAGGACATCTAGACTGTCTAAGTGGGCTTCAAACCCAATAAGTGTCCTTTTAAGAGACAAAAGACACAGGGAAAATGAAGGGCAAGTGACTTAATAGCCAAACTGAAGGAGCTTAAGTCACCTCCAAAACAAAGCCTCAAATCAGACAGAAAGGCAGGACACAGAATCATGCCATACACCCATTCCAACAAAAGCAGCTGGGAATACAAGCGGCAGCCCAATGAATCACTGAATTCTCTTCCTAGCAAAACCGTACCTTTGGCAAACCCATTTGTCAGAAAATAATCCAGCTTGCTTTGCTCTTCTGTAACTGGTTTTAGGAAATTAAAACAGAAAGTCTGAACTGTATCTCCAGAACTACAGCATTTAAGACAACCCATCTCCCCTAAAATGTATTTCTGGGGGCTAGAGAGATGATTCCATCTGTGTAAAAGTACTGGCTGTTCTTCTAGAGGATCTGAGTTTAACTCTCAGTACCAACATGGTGGCTCAAAACCATCTGTAACTCCAGCTCCAGTCGGGATCCAACACCCTTCTGGCCTCTGTAAGCGCCGCATGCACCATAGTGCAGACACGTTGTGCTGGCACAATGTCAATTTAGGTCAATTGGACACACAAACCTGAGTTATCTGAAAGGAGGGGAACCTTAATTGAGAAAATGCCTCCATAAGAGGGGGCTGGAGAGACTGCTCAGTAATTAAGTTGTTCTTCCTGAGGACCAGGGTTCAATTCTCAGCTTCCACATGGCGGCTCACAACTGTCTCTAACTCCAGTTCTAGGGAATCCAGCACCCTCACACAGGTACACATGCAAGCGAAGCATCAATGCACATAAAGTACAAATAAATCATTAAAAATTTTAAAAGATTCGCCTGTAAGGCATTTTCTTGATTAGTAATTGGTGGGGAAGGCCCAGCCCACTGTGGGTGGGGCCATCCCTGGGATGGAGGTCCTGTGTTCTATTGGAATGTAGGCTGAGCAAGCCATAAGAAAGGCAGTATGCAGCAGCAGCAACCCTCCATGGCCCCTACATCAGCTCTGGCCTCCAAGTTCCTGTCCTACTACAATTCCTATCTTGGCCTCCTCTGATGGACTAGGATGCGGCAGCAGAAGCTGAATAAACCCTTTCCTTTCCTCCACAAGTTGCTTTTTGGTCATGGTGTTTTATCTAGCAATAGAAATCCTAACTAAGACAGACATGCAGGCAAAACACCCATACACATAGAAAAATAAAAAGGGGGAAAAACATTTGATTTGCAAACTTGATCACATGAACGAAACCTGTTTAAGTGCTGTTTACTTGGCATCATAACCTGTTGGATCAGTACACTGTGCAGGTGACTGAGCCGAACACAGCGCAGGAAGGAAAAGAAAACCCAGACCAACAGAAGCTACCCTAAATGTGGAAATCGCTGTGTCATTATACAGTTCTCCTTGGCTAGACAGATGTTCTCTGTTTTGAGAGTGTAGAAAACAAATAATCACTCCTGGTAAATGGCCTCAAGGCTGTGTTCTTGTTGGCATGCTACAAAACAAAACAAATGAAAGGGGGAAATCCAGCATTATCCTGGATGTGATGGACCAGGAACTGGAACCTGGTGTGGCGAGCTACTACAAACTCAGTTACCGGAGCCAAGGAAATGGGATGCTTCAGATGTCGTGCAAAGCTCTTGATTTCTGGCCAGCATGGTAGCCATCCCTTTTTCTCACTGGTACAACTAACCAAAAGGCATCATATGGACTAAAAGCACCCCTCTGGCCAGGCTAAAGATAAAAACCAAAGGGTTAAAAAAGAAATCCAATTTGAAGTGTTACTTGTTTCCACACTATGGGCATTACACCCCTCCACCCTAATTTAGTAAAACCAGGCATGTCTGAATGAAAGTGTTTGTGGAAGGCTAATTATTTACTTACTCACCTGCCCCGAGTGTTTTGTGGATCCTGGATCCTGTGGGTGTCTTGAGTGGACCAGCCTTGCCAGGAAGGGGTCTGTAGGACATTGGGGTCATTTTATTTGCTTTACTGCCCACTTCACATCCATTTTTTTTCCTGATCTGGGGCCTCTCTTGTTATCCCTGCTGTACTCAGGCCCTAAAGACTCTGGAGGGGAGAATGGGGATGACTAGTCCCCTTTTATAAGAGTCAGGGTTTAATGGAAGACTGAAAGCCAGGGCTCTGAGCTCTGGTGGTGGCTTACTTATCTTGATCTTAGGTGCTCAACAGATGTTTGTGCAGGTAAATGAAATTCATTTTCAATTAGCTAAATTCACAATCATTATTTTATCTCTACATAGTTTAGAAACCATCTAGATCAGTGGTGTTGAATCCTAAGTGCACATTATAATCACCTGGAGAATGATTAAAAATTCCCATGCCATCTGCTTGACCAATTAAATAAAAACCTGAGTGTGGGACCCAAAAACCAATATTTTTAAAAACTCCCTGAGAATTTCCAATGTGCAGTTATCTAAACCATCCTGTGCAAAAAAAAAGAGCTGAAGGTATAGCCCTTACCATGTGCAGTCCTGAGTTCTATGCCCAGGACTAAGAAATATGGACCCTCCACCCAGCATTTTCACACTAAATACACTCAAGTTCAAAAAGCTACAGAACATACTCAGGGTATGTATTTGATAAAAACATATTATTTGCATCTGAAATTCTCAAGCAACAAAAATAAAGCCTAGCCAGGCATAGTGGAGCATGCCTTTAATCCCAGAGAAGCAGAGGCTGATAGATCTCTGGAAGTTTGAGGCTGGTCAGAGCTATTGAAACTGTCTCAGATAAATTAGATAGATAGATAGATGATAGACAGACAGACAGATAGTTTTCTTCAAGATAAAGTCTAAACTCTACTAATTAAAGTCATTAGTATTCCATGAAATGCTCCAGAAAATGCTTTGCAATACTGAAAACCTAACCTTCACGCATGTCTGGTACACACATGTAACTTGACCCAAAACACTGGGTTTGCTTTATCAGCATACCTCAATATTCAAATTGGGGGTGAGAGTAACAATTTATGAAGGACCAACTTGTCCCTTTCAGGACGTTAAAAACTCCAGTCATCTATCAAATGTCAAGGATGCATGGCCCTTGACAAAAAAAAAAAAAAAAAAGTGCCCAAGTTCAGGAAACAGGAAAAAGAGTAGTAATACTTTTGAGAACTACTAGATACCCTATACATGGTGAAATGAGAGTGAGACCGGAGGATATCCAAATTTGACAAAACAAGGTAGGACAGCAGCATCATAAATGCCTACAGATCAGGAGAAAATGTTAAGAAGATCCGAAGGCTAAGAGATGAATGTACTTTAAAGTAGACATAATAATCCAAAGTAGGCCAGTAAACTGCTCTTTGGAAGTTCAGAGAAAATTTATTACAATGGCCAAGAAAGTTGAGGTATAACATAACCTTTGAATTAGTACTAAGAATCTTTCAAAAGGCTCCAAACAGAGTAACCTCTCCCAAGGTAAACATATGTTCTTTTTCTAATGAACAACACAATGTTCCCATTTCTAGGATGCTACCTGCTTTGTTTATTTGACAACAACTTATGATGATGTGGCAGATAGACAGATAGACAGATAGATAGATAGATAGATAGATAGATAGATAGATAGATAGATAGACAGACAGACAGACAGACAGACAGATAGATAGATAGATAGATAGATACACACACACAAAAATGAAGGCTTTAGTTCAATTCCCAGAACCCATGTTTAAAAATTAAAGCCAGGCATGGTGGAACACACTTATAGTCCCAGTGTTGTGGAGTTAAAGGTACAGCTAGGCAGATCCATGGGGCTCACTAGCCAGCCAGCATAACCTGAGCCTAAGGTCAGTGAGAGAGTCTGTCCCAAAAAGTAAGATGGAAAGACCTGAGGAATGATATACAAGGTTGACCTCTAGTGTTCATACATACTTGCACACATATTTCTCTCTCTCTCTCTCTTTCTCACACACACACACACACACGGGCGGGAGGCTAACTGTCATCTCTCCTACCAGGACTCTCTTTGAGAAACTCCTCCTCTGACCCCTCGCTCCAGATGGCTGAAGGCCAAACCTGTCTGTGCTGCTGGACTCCACCTGCTAGGCAGCTGTTCACACAGTTCCAATCTGAAATCACAATCCGGCTCACGGTGTCTCTTCTTCTAAGTATATAGGATGAAGCTCTGTAATCTCAAACTCTAAAATTCACTTATAATATTCTATGAAATACCAAATTCAGGCTGTATATAAGTTATAACTGAAACATATAGAAACACATAAATGTATTTAAACTTATATCCCATCACCAAACCTATAAATATTCAAAAATTAAGTAAAAAAACATTTAATGTACAATCTAAAACACTTCTGGACTCAAGTATTTCTGGTGAGTGAAACTTTACCGGAACGATTGGCCACTTAAGATGTACCTAAAATAGTTCCCTCCTACCAACCTTTTCCTACAAACCCCCAACACAGTCTCTGCTCCACCCAAATTCCCTGGCTGGGACACATCTCACTTGGAGACCTAACTTCCTCAACCATAAAATAGACCAGCTGCATGTGCCGCCATAGGGTAAGCAACAGGTTAGCTGGAACGACCTTCGGAGCCCAAGGAGACATACTGACTAAAAACCCAAGATGCTGATAAAGACAGAAAACTTGTCGTGCCTTCAGTCCAGGTCTTTCTTCACTTTTAGGGAACAAAATACACCTCATCAAGCCCAGGACATTAGAGGATGCCCTAGGGAATTTGGCAAATTCTAACACTTGGGACTTTGATGTATGGCTTTACATTTTTCAAATTCAAAAACTACTCTTAGGAAAACTATGGCCTGGGCACACTGAATGTCTTGAGAAATTTCTAAAGTTGTAAAACTCCAGCTGTGTCTTATGAACAGATGCGGTCTTTCATTCAGAGTCATGGGACTCCACAGCCAACTCAGCTGGTCATCCCATGGGCAGTCTTAAATCTCCTCTATAAGAGGAAGGAATTGGAACAATTTTTTTCTCTGCACTGTTTTTGGCTTTCACATTCACACAGCATCTGGCTTCTGAAATGGGTGTTGAATTTCTATTCTGGTCAAGCATACTTTTAATTGTAAAGCCTGGGAATTCCATACCTCATCATTAATCCCCCACCAAAACTACTCTCCCACAGTAGGGCTCAAGCTATTTAAACTCCATGGGATGTTTAAACAGTCTCATCATCACAGGCTAAAAGTGATGAGCTAGAGACAGAAGGCCACTCCTACAGCAGCTCAAACTAAGCCACCCCATCTTGGTCTTTCCAAAGCTCTGAAGCTTTTACATGGAAAGACATTCTGCAGCCGCCTGCAGGGAAACTACCAACACACTAAAGTTCTTTCTCCTAAACCCCAGACTCACTTTAGCGCACATTCAAAGCTAAAGAACTTAGGCTTAAGCCATGTAGTTTCCTTCAGACATAAACTAACTTTGGGGTTTTTTTTTTTTTTTGGTTTTTGGGTTTTTTTTTTTTTTTTTGATAATCAATCCCAAAAGAGGAAGCAAGGAACACCAGAACACAATCCACTTTGAAGTCTCTTAGTCTCCTTAAAAATCCATTTGAGGGGGTGGTGGTGGTAGCAGTAGTAGTAGTAGCAGGAGCAGCAATGATGAGCACCCAACTGCAGGCATTAAGTCAAACTTGTAACTGTACACTAAAATGCCTTCTATGTGAATTATGACGATCCAAAAAGAACTGTGTGTTCAGGAATTACCAACCACTGGCATGATTCCTTTTGTAAAAAACTATAAAGCACCACTCACAGGCTTCCTCTCACCCAAGTATTCCCTAAAGTCTCTAGAAATTTGCTGGTCTTTTTGTTTGGTTTGGTTGGGCAGTGCCTGTTTGGGGGGTTGGGGGAGGTAGGGGCAGGTGTGATGGTTTTTTTTTTTTTGGTTTTTTTTTTTGAGGGGATGCAGCACGAATAATAAAAACCCAGAGACAGATATTGGGGTTCAACCTGAAGATCAGAAAAGCAAAGAAGATCAGAAAAGCAAAGCAGCCAGCTACTACAGAGTTCTTACCTCTACACCAAGGCTGGGTAAGCCTATTCTCGGTGTGACTGCAGACTGAGACCTTGAGCTCCTGTCTTCTATTCCTCTCTAGTGCTGGGATTAAAGGCATGCACCTCTACTGCCCAGCCTCTATGGCCAACTAGTACAGCTGCTGGATTAAAGGTGTATGCCACCACTGCCTGGCCTGTATGGCTGACTGACTAGTGTGGCTAGCTTTGCACTCTGATTTTCAGGCAAGCTTTATTTATTAAAACACAAATAAAATATGACTATAAGGGAAGTGTTTAAATTTTTATTTATTTATGTACATTTGTAGTCTTTTGTCTAAATGCATGCTTAAAATACATGCAGGTGCTGAGGAGGCCAGAAGACCGAATCAGATGCCCTGGAGCCAGAGTTACACCAGTTGCAGGCCACCCATCCAACATGAGCACTGAAAACTAGCTGAATTAGAGTGCCTTGGAAAGGCAGCAGCAAGGGTTGAGCCATCTCTCCAGTGCCTTGTTTTTTGTTTGCTTTTGTTTTGTGACAGTCTGACTATGTTGTTCAGGCTAAGCACAAACTCCTGGACTCAAGCGATTCTCCTGCCTCAGCCTCCTTAGTAGATGAGACTACAGGCATGCATCGCTCTGTGTGTGTGTGTGTGTGTGTGTGTGTGTGTGTGTGTGTGTGTGTGAGTGAGATGGAGCAGGGTCATCTTTTTATCTGTTGTTTCATTGGTTAAGTAATAAAGAAAACTGCTTGGCCCTAATAGGACAGAAAATTAGGTAGGTGGAGTAAACAGAACAGAATGCTGGGAGAAAGAAGCTGAGTCAGAGAGTCGCCATGATTCTCCCACTCCAGACAGATGCAGATTAAGATCTTCCATGGTAAGCCACCTCGTGGGCTACACAGATTGTTAGAAATGGGTTAGCTCAGTATGTAAGAGCTAGCCAATAAGAGGCTGGAACTAATGGGCCAGGCATTGTTTAAAAGAATACAGTTTCCGTGTAATTATTTCGGGTATAAAGCTAGCCGTGCGGGTGGCCGGGTGCCGGGGACGCAGCCCGCTGCTCCAATCACAACGTGTGTGTGTGTGTGTGTGTGTGTGTGTGTGTGTGTGTATGTGTGTGTGTGTGTGTAACAAGTGTGTATGTATGCATACCTTTTAAAAGCCTTCATAGTAAGGAAGTCTAAATTGCAATTTATATTTTTTAACTTTTTAACTTCAAAGAGGGTCTGTCCAGATTTCAAGACATTCAGAAACCAAGTAACTTTCCACGGATTAAAGTGAAGGTAAAAACAGGTGGTTCTGGATCCTAGGCCAGTCAATCTCTGAAGGTTTGGTTTTGTCTTTTCAAGTCCAGTCTTCCTGTCTTTGTCTCTGGGTCTGGCTCTCTGGCTGTCTCTCTCTCTCTCAAACAACAGTTGCATGGCAATTAATCACCTCAAACAGAAGCAGATATGAATGTTTGGTGCAACGTGACTCATAACACCCAAAAAGCAAAAGCAACCAAAATGTCCATCAAGGTATAAATGGATGAGCAATGTGTGTTATCCATCCTGTGGGCTGTTACTCAGCCACAAATGAAACAAAGTACAGATACAAGCTACATTCAACATGGATGGATCTCAAAAACATAAAGAAGCCAAATATAAGGGACTAGAAAACACACAACTCTATCTCTATAATGAGATCATAAATGCTAACTCTGAAAGATAGCTGCTGCCAGAGCATGGGAAGAATCAATGATAAAGAAGTCAGAAGTGGGTCTGGAGAGATGGCTCGGGCTAAGAGCACTGGCTGTTCTTCCAGAGGACCCGGTTCAATTCCCAGCACCCACATGACAGCTAAAACTGTCTGTAACTCTAGTTTCTGGGGATCTGATACCTCTGATACCTTGACACCAACCCACATAAAATAAAGTTAAATAAATTATTTTTTAAAAAGTCAGAAAGAACTAGGCTAACAACTAGGGAATAACAAGGTTTCTTTCCAAAGCAATGAAAATATTCTAAGACTGACTATGGTAGTAGTCACAGAACTCTGTGGATATTATACTGAAAACTATCATACAGCCAGGGAATCATATATCCAAGTTGCATATGGAGTTTTAAAACCTGGTCCCAGCAATTCTAACAGGCTATGCTTGACCTACAAGGCCTTATTGTTCTAGTAATCTAGGGTAACTGTGGGCTTAGATAAGTGGGTCTTCTCAGCCTTAAAGGGGAATGAGATAGACATACTTTAGTACCTACTACATTAGGTAGACATACTTCTTAGTGATCACCAAGCTTTAGCAGAATCAAGCAGGAGTCTGACCTAAAGTAAAAAAGACAGGAGACAAATGAAGACAGATGCCGGCTTTCATCTTGTTCTTAGTTATCTTGTGGGCCAATGTAAAGACTCAATACCTTTAAGAAAATACAGGTTCTAGGCTAAAAACACTTGCTCTTCCAGAAGACCTGGGTTCAGTTCCCAACACCCACATCAAGCAACTCACTACTGATTATATAATTCCAGCTCCAAGGGATTCCTATGCCTCCTTCTGACCACTGCAGGCACCCAAACACAGTTATGCACACATACACATAAATAAAATTTAAAAGCTTTTAGAAATTCAATTAGTGGTATCTGTTACAGTGTGGATCATAACTTAATAAAGAGGTCAGAATAAACTCAAAGAAATGAGCTGAGCCTTCCTATTCCTGTTTACTCAGAGATAACCAAGGAAAGACAAAGTCCCTCCAACACAAGGCTCTGCTAGGCTCAGGCACAGCTGCAAGACAGCAGGTAAAGACCACAGAGTAGGTAGGGAGTCTTTCCATCTGTTCTCATCACCCAACAGTAAAGGTCTAAACAGCACTCTTAAGCTCTGGGGACAGTATGAGGCAACCACAGGACTGCTCCTGTGCAGCTATCCTGCTGCCAGAGCTCCTAATGCTCTTCAGTCACAGAAGAGAAGTATGGCTGCAAAATGCAGACCGGGACAACGATGAGTTAGCAATTTTAAGTCAGACTTGCTCTAGACCATGGTTTCTGATGTTCATAAAGAGCAACCCAACCAAGAAACATTAACTTCAGAAAGAAATAAGAAAAAAAGGCCAACTGAAGTTAGATTAACAGCCATGTAGCACCAACACAGAAATAATAGCCAGACTCCTTGCATGCAAACACACATTAAGGCAAGCCAGATGGAAATGTTTATGAAGTACTAGCCACAATGACTATTCCTTAAAATTTACAACATACCAAGTTATAACATAATGGAAATGTGCTGCTAATTTCCCTGCACTGCCATCCCATTTCCACTGCAACAGAAAACACTTAAAGGGACAGACATTTCTAAGGACACAGTGGGGCCAGTAATAGCTTCCCATAACATACCTACCCTAGATGGTGGGCAGATGCAGTTGTTTCACTTTAAAAATCAGTCATATCAACCTGTGCTCCATAAGCCTGGTAAGTGAAGAGGAGCTTACAAAAATGTAATTTAGCATACAATTCTGAGCCTTCTTTGGTTTGGAAACAAAAATGCCAATAAAAAATTGTATCCCCTCTTTCCTTGTAAGACCATTTTCTTCACAAAACTAGGAGTCTAGAGAGGGAGACAAGCCGAGGTCTAGCTTCACCCTCACAGCCTATGTTCACCTGGAGAGCAAACTCCAATCTTCCTTTTAATTTAACCTATGGGAGAATGTAATCAAGGTAGAGAAATAAAGCACAGTAGACTGGAATATGGCTCAGTGACTAAAGGTGCTTGCTGCCAAGTCACATGAACCTGATTTGATACCTAGAAGCCACATTGGAGGAAAACTAACTCCTCCCGGCTGTCTTCTGACCGCCATATGCACACTGTGGCTCAGGCACCATGGTACAATGCCTTGGGACAGAAACCATGGTGCCAGTGCACATGCATGTACACATACACATAAACCAAACTAAAAATGTAAAATTGGCTTAATTTTTGTTTTTAAATTGTATTGAGACTATAATTATGCAATTTCCCTCTTTCTTCTCCCTAAGCCTTCCCATGAATACTTCCCCTACCCCATTGCTCTTTCAAATTCATGACCTCTTATTTATTGTTACATACAGACACACACTCCTAAATAAATACGACATGCTTGGTCTGTATGATGTTACTCGTATACAGATTTTCAGGGCTGATCACTTGGTATTGGATAACCAATACCAAACACTATTTCTCCTGCTCTCAGGATTCCTTAATTGGGTATAGGTCTTTGTCTAGAGTTAAGGCCTCTGAGCTTTTTTCCCATCCACATAAGCATATCTATGCATGTCATCCTTAAAATTGTTTAAATTTTTACAAAGCACAGGGGGGGCTGGAGAGATGGCTCAGTGGGTTAAGAGCCCCTGCTGCTGTTCCAGAAGTCTTGGAGTTTGGTTCCCAGCAACCATGTGGCAACTATAGCAGTCTGTATTTCCAGGTCCAGAGGATCCAGTGCCCTCATCTGGTTTCCGGGAGCACTGTAAACATATGATGCACAGATATAAAATGAAGGCAAAACAACCACATGCATAAAGCAAAAGTAAATGAGACTTTAAAAAAAGCATAGGGATGGAGCCTTTGCTAAGGCCTGCCTTTTCTTTTGGGGAAAGATAAATACTGTTAGTTGTTATGAGTTATTAGTGGTTCTCAACCTTCCTAATGCTGTGACCCTTTAATATAGTTTCTGTTGTGGTATCTCCCAACAATAAAATTTTTTCATTGCTACTTCATAGCTGCAATTTTGCTACTGTTATGAGTCATAATGTAAATATTCACTATGCAATCCCTGTGTAAGGGTGATTCGACCACCAAAGGAGTTGCAACAGGTTGAGAACCACTAACTTAAGGAGTAAAAGACGTTTGCCGCCAAGCTTGGCAAATTGAGTGGCATGCCTGGAACTCTGCTTCAGTCCTGGACCTACCACTTACTACCTGGTTTACCTTAGGAAAGCTGTTAAACTGTGTGCCTTGCTGACCTTGCTCTACTTCTTGGCTGGCTTACTGGCAGTGGCGAGAACAGATGTGCCTTGTTACTCTTAGAGAGGGAAGCTGCTCACTGTTTGCTATTGTGTAAAGTAGACTTTGTAGATACCCTTTATGGAATTAAGGAAATTAGCCTCAGTTCTCTTTTCCTTTATCTTGAAGAGGTGTTAGATTTTCTATTACTCTTTCTGTCCTAATTTAGAATAATGTGAAGTTTTTCTTTGGCCTATTAATATACTGGATAAGATTTCTTTTTTCCTGATAAGTTTTTTTAAACGATTGAAACATTCTTGTATACCAAGATGAAGCTATCACTTGGTCATTTATGAAATTATTTTTCTAAACTGTTGAATCCTTTGCAAAGGATTTGTCCGCCAGCTTGCTATAGACTTTGTGTCTATGTTCACAAGGGATTCTTTTGAACTGCAGCTGTCTGGTTTTGAACTATCTTTGTCCGGTTTTGGTATTCCAATATCTCTGACTTCATAAAATTGAGGCCTCCTCTCCTCTGCTGTCTTCTTCCGTTACAGCAAAATGGGGGTTTTTCTTTAAATGTTTGTTAGAATTATTTAGGAGTTCTTTGGAGTCCTTTTTAAAATTACAGTACTTTATCTACATGTTTGTGTGAGACAGTGCAAGCACCTGTGGAGATCAGAAGACAAGGTGTGGGAATTGTTTCTCTCCTCTACCACGTAGATCCCAGGTATGGAACTTAGGTTGTCAGACTTGGTGGCGCGAGTCTTCACCTGCTGAGGTACCTCATCTACCCTGTCTTTAGAGTTTACACAATTCAAATTAAGGTAGTTTTTTTTTAGTTGTAAGGTTGTTAAGCTATTCCCCTTTTCATATTGAATAAATTGTAGCAGTCTGTGCTGTTGGAATTGGCCCATTTCTTTTGGAAGGTGTCAAGTGTTTCTGGGTCAGATTATTTGTCGTATTCTCCTAGCCTTCTGGTCCCTATGGGGTCTGCAATGGTAGCCCATTTTGCTGATATTTTGGTTTTTTCCTAGTATTGGCATGACTTCTTTTTTCCTTTGCCAGCCTTGCTGGTTTGTTACTTCCCTAATTTATTTTTTTTAATGAGACAGTTTTTCCTTGATGTCCTCCCAGCTTGTTTTTTTTTTCTTAAAGTGGGAACAAAGATTGGTGATTTAAAACTTTAAAATGGAAACTGTTCCCCCTAAATATTCTCTATCATGGCATGGTTTTCACTAGTTGCCAGTGTTACTTCCAAATACTCCATAAAGAGCAGGCATCTTAGATAGACGATTGACAGTTTTCTCTAGCATTTAATTAAGAAGTTGGTGACTTAACTGCAGGAAATAGTGCTTGTGTTATTTGAGGCTTAACTTCTAAGAAGCCACTTCGAAAATTTGGATTGTCAAATTAGAGCTAAATGTCCTTGTTGATTAAGACTTTAGAGCTAGAAAAGACCTTAGACCCAAGGGTCAGCAAATTAAAGTCCTTGGGCCAAATCCTGCTCAGCAGCCCTGGTCTAATCTGACCCTCCAGCTAAGCATTTTTAAAGAGTTGTAAATAACAGGTAAAGGCACTTTGAGAATCTGGGACTTGGAGCCTGACTGGCCTGCAGCACCTGATTACTCTACTATGTGGACCTTTCCAGAAAGTTTTCCTACTCCTCTGCCTTTAGATCACAGAAAGCCAGTGAGGATTGATTGCCCGCTTCTGAGTCATCTGGAAACATTTGGAAGTACAGGTTCCCAGGCCCCTCACATGGCTCTTTTCCCATCTGGAATTTGTCACAGCACATGGCTCTGTTCATGCTTGGATTGTTTGTCTTCTCTCTCTCTACCATTCTACCATGGCATTTCTCTCACCATCTAGGCTCTGAGTAAGATATTCAGAGGTCCATTTTGAAGGGCCTCACACAAATGTGAAATTGTTGATAGTGCTGTGGAGGAGGCTTCTTTTTGTTGTTGTTTGTTGGTTTGTTTTGTTTCTTTCAAGACACGGTTTCTCTGTGAAACAGCCCTGGCTGTCCTGGAACCAGCTCTTGCAGACCAGGCTGGCCTTGAACTCACTGCCTCAGGGATTAAGGGCCACCACTACCCAGCAAGGAATTTTGTTAGGAATAGTTCCCAAAAACATGATTTTTACAACCACAAAGTACATAATGTTTTAACTGTTTAATCTCTTTGAACATTAATTCATTGTTGACTCATAGTTTGGCACATGTGATGAGACAAAAATCTATGAAACAGCAGTATTAGGGACCTTACTTGTAAGGAATTCTGTCCACTTAGAGTTAGTGGGTAAAGAAAGGCCTTAGAAAGGATTTCTAGAAGTGCGAATCCCATTTTCTTCCTCTTGTGCTACGAACCCTGGACCTTTGTGCATGCTGTGGAAGTCCTATGACCCTGAGTTATGTCTCCAACAATTTGCGGGGGGGGGGGGGGGGGGGGGGGGGGG